GCATTCATCTTGCCAATGATTTCCTGGATTATGACACCAAAAGTACAGGCAACAAAAGCAATAATAGGCAAGTGAAACTCTATCTAACTAAAAAACTTCTGGGAGAAAATTTTTGCATCTATATATCTGGAAGGGGTTAATTTCCAAAATATATAAGAAACCTCTACAATTCAATAGAAACAAACTCCACCAAAACCCCTCCCCAAAAACCTGATTGAAAAATAGGCAAAGGACTTAATACATATTTCTTTGAGGAAGAATATAGAAAATAGATATATAAAAAGATGCTCAATATCTTTAATCATCAGGGAAATACATACAAAAACACAGTGAGGTGAAGCCTGGCATGGGGTGCATGCCTGAAATCACAGCGGCTTGGGAGGATGAATCAGGCAGATGGCAGGTTTTGGACCAGCCTCAGAAACTTAGTGAGACCCTGTCTCAAAAAAAGAAAAAAAGGAGTCTGGGGATGTAGGTTAGTGGTAAATTGCTCTTGGGTTAAGTCTCCAGTATCACTGCCCCCCACCAAAAATCCACAATGAGCTATCACCTCAAATCTGTTCAGATAGCCTTATAAAATAAAACATAACAGATAATAAATTTTGTTGAGGATGTGGAAAATTTGGAACCCTTGTACACTGCTTGTGAAAATGTAACATGGTGTATCTGCTATGGAAAACAGTATAGAGGTTCCTCAAAAAATTAAAAATGTAACTGCCATATGAGCCAGAAACCTCACTTTTAATCCAAAAATAATTGAAATCAAGATCTCAAAGAGATATGTGTACTCCCATATTCATTGCAGCATTATTTTCAAAAGCCATCCTAAATGTACATCAAAGATGAATGGATAAAGAAAATGTGGTATATACATACTATGGAATACTATTCAGCCATGAGAAGGAGGAAATCCTTTCATATGCTTCAACATGAACGTGGAGGCCATGTGCTCTGTAAAATAACCTAGCCCCAGAAGGACAAACACTGTGTGATTCACTTATACGAGGTATTTAAAATAATCAAACTCATCAAAGTAGAAAGTGGAATAGTGGTTGCCAGGGGCTAGAGGGAGGGAGAAAAGGAGAATTGCTGTTCAAAGGGTATAAAGATTCAGTCATGCAAGATGAAAAAATTCTAGAATCTGCCACAGACTATGGTGTTGATAATTAACAAAACTGTAGTGTACACTTAAAAATCTATTAAGAGGGTAGGTCTCAGATTCTGTATTTTCTTTACCACAATAAAAATAGTGAATGCCCTGCACAATAATAATCACAGAAATGCAAATAAAAAATTATCACCTGTCAAATTAGTAAGAATTTTAAAATGGTGGTGAGAGTTCCCTGAGGCAGGTTCTCATTTAGTGCTAGTTACAGGATAAATTGGCAGGCACAACTGTTTTGAAAAACACTTTGGAAGTACACATCAAAAGGTCTTAAAAATGTTTATACCCTTTGATGTAAAAATTTTACTTGTAGAAATCTGCTTTTAAGAAATAACAGCAGATATAAATACGTTTATTATTTATAATAGCAAAATTTAAAACTCCTCCAAATGTCCCATAAAAGGAGCAAGGTTAATAAATGTTGATAATTACTATTTTAAAAGTTTATGAGGTTTTAGTGACATCAGAAAACTTTTTACAGCATAACACTAAGTGGAAAAAGCTAGGATAACAAACTTCATAAGAGATATTTACACATAGTATTATCACCACGTTGTCAAAGAAAGAGAAAAAGATGTAGAAAATACACAGAAATGAAAAAAAGGAGGGGTTATTTTTGAGTAAGGAGGTTATGGATGGTTTAAGACAAGGGTTTTAAAAAAATCCTTTTCCCATGTTTCCCAAACTTTTGACAAAGAACTTATATTACTCTTTCAATCAGGAAACAAACAAAAAGACAGAAAAATCTTTTTGTTTGTTTCCTGATTGAAAGAGTAATATAAGGTTCCACAGAAAAATATATTATATCCTGATCAAATCTATATTTTTCAAACTGTATTTACTCTTTACTCTTTGCAAACATAAATATAGGAGATAAAATGTACAGTGACCAAAAATTAAACTCTTCATGCTAGAAATACTTGGAGGTATTTTACTGATTTTACTTAAGATTTGGTTAAAATAAACAAACTTTCCCACTAAATCTTTTAATTCTAAAGCAAAAGAGGTAGGCATATCAGGAGAGAAAGCAAAAGAGAGCATTACATTGTTTGTATAGTAAACATATGGCTTCTGGTAGCCCAAGGAAATATCATTGGGTCCCCTCTGTGGGATACCGTGTGCATCCTCTTCAGGAGAGTGGTCTGCAGGGACATTAATGGCATGACCAACAGGAAGAGTAGGGAAGGGTCTGTCCTGGCAGCAAGGACAGCCAAACCCACCATGGCTTTCAGTGGATTGGCAGATGGCACATCCAGATTGTCCCACCAGCCTGGAGCTACTAACTAAAACAATTACATTCAAGAGAGGATAAATTCATGCTACAATCAGATTCCTAATATTAGCTGGGATGGTGGGGGTCATGTTTCAATTGGTTTGGGTTGTGAGCAGATAATGAATAAGGGATGGGCCAAGAGAAGTGCAAGCTGGCTTCTTTAGGGACATAAGCCATCAACTCTGAGAACATCAAGTTTACTGCCATGGCCCCAGTCCTCCTATTTGATGCCACTTGAGAAGTGTTCTTTTACTTTTACTCATATGTTTCCTTGAAATCAGTGAAAGTCAATTTGGAGATTTTGGGTACAACTTAGAAACTTGACATGGTTTACTGGTGGGCCTATGAGATATTTAAAGGTGTGTGTACTRTGGTTGGTGGGGGAAGCTTAAATGTGTTGCTGGAAGTTCAAAATTGAGAAATTTTGGCATAATCAGGATTTGGGATTTTTAAACAAGATTAAATCTATCAAGGGTAATCTGTCATTGTCACAGACCACCAGTATACCACAGTCTTCACTCAGTTCATTATCTCATTTGGATTTTCATGCATGGAGTCTGTATGTATTCCTAAACCCTGATCAATAGGCTTGCTCTTACCAGTAGGAAGCTTTCAGCGTAAAGAGAGACTTGACAGAACAGATCTACTCATAAGCTCTGAGCTGCCTCTGATAAAAAGCTTCCATTGAGAGAAAAATTCATTCAAAGCAACACTACCTGTAAGTAACTCTGATAAAGACAAACCTGATGAAGCACTATAAAAATGCTCAAAGACTCTCTGGGGGATAAGAAAAATGCCCCTCTGGAAGTCATGGGTGCCCTATGCAGGTAGTTAGAATGGACAGGGCTTTCGAGGAAGATCGGGACAGACGGTGGGATGCTCACAGTTTAGTATTTGGAACTTAGTAGGAGGTTAATAAATATTTGTTTCCATCTTCCTAACAGCAGATGCAGAGCACAGCAAGGAAGAAATGGAGCCAGAACAGTGTAATGCAATGCACAAAAGCACAGCATGCCAAGAGAGAAGGAGGTAATTGTAGCCTAGAGATCAGTAGATGCACTAGAATAGACCTCTAGTAGTTAGGATGACAGCTCCAGGTATTGTAGTGATGGGGACTGCAAAACTGCAGCACGATTCTGACAGATCTTTGACAGTTATACATCTACATGGTAAGTTGGAGCATAGGATAGATGAAAACAAGAAGAAATYAAGCAGAAATTTAGGTAGAAATCACACCAACACTGATGTGAGGAGAAAGAACTCAACCCTTCAGTGAATGATGGTTTGTTAAAATCATAACAAACTCTTTATAACATAAAAATATAAAAAGTATGTAAAATATGCAGGATAGCCATATTCAGTTTAGGTACAGGATTCCAGTAATTAGTGGAGATAAGTTAACTGTTTAAATAAAATTTATTTTTGCCTCATTGATGGTGCAGCTTGTGTCACTTTGGAATGATTTATTCCTAAAGCCTCAATTTAAAAAAATCAGTTACTAACTGAAATAAAACAATCAAAAGCTTCATTGTTACTACAGTAATAACCTGTCAGAGAATGTTACAGGAAGGGTGTTGAACAGCAGAATGGAAGGTTACAGATGCAATTATTTCTTCTCTAGGTCATAGCCAATCAGTCGCTGTTTACACACAGGGTAGCTTCTGCACTATTTATTTCTTTAAATATTTAACAGTTTTCTAGAGGCAGCGACTGACAATAGTCTATAGAGTTTCTAGCATGTTATGAGTGTTTAATAAATGTTAAAATATTTAATAAAATTCCGTATGATGAAAAACAGCAGTCAGTAAAACTGTTATAGCCTACAATATTTTAATGCCATAGTAGTAACTATTTAAAAATATAAAAAGCAAACAGTGCATTGACTAAACCATAATAAAAAGGAATATTTATAGTCACCAAAAAAAAAAAATCCACCTAGGTAATTTCCTCCTAAATTCCTTAGGGAATCGTAGGAATTTTGCATACAAAATGGATTAAAAAAAAAAAAAACTTCTTTGGAAACGAGGTGCGTGTGTGCGACACTTCCAGAAGTAAGCCGGGTCGCAGTGACACGCAGAAAGCTAGTGCTCTGACACAGCAAGGAAGTTCTTTATTTCCTTCTAATCCTGGGAAAACGTCCGCTAGGCTTGGGAATCGTGACTACACGGTTCCCGCATCTTTGCCGCAGCCCTCAGCCGCTGAAGTCCCCAGTGGCGAGGGCTGAGGACCCCGCTTTCTAACTTTAGAGAAGGAAGTAAGGAGAAAAACAGAGCTGCTCCTTTAAGAACTCCCCTTCCCTTTTACTCTATGTTTACATAACACGGGGCCAGTCCCGGGCCGCCCGTGGGGGCGGGGAGGGGGCGCGGGCGGCCCCACGCGCTGGGGGCGGGGTCGGAGGGCGGGGGGGGGGTGGCGCTCGCGAGGGCGGGGCCCCCCCCACCTGCCCGCGCCGGCGGGGCGGCTCCGCGCTCTGGCCCCCGCCCACCCCGCCTCTCGCGCTCGCTCCCTCCCTCCCGCGGGGCTTCGGCGGCGGCGGCTGCAGTGGCGGCGACGCTAGGCGCTCGGCACGGGCAGGTCCCCCTGCTGCCCGGTCCCATTTGTTGCCGGGTCTGGTTCGGGGCGGCTGCGGCGCGCGGAGCTCCGGGGAGCCAGGCGGGCAAACGCGCAGCCACGACGGAGCAGCCGCGGGACTGGCCGCCCCGCGCCCCCTTCGCCGCGGTGCCCTTCCCCGGCGCGCTCACCCCCTTCTCGGGATGGGATTGTAGCGGCGGCGCGGACTCGGCGGGGATCGCGGCGGAGGCGGCGGCGGCGGCGGCCGAGAGGGGCTCCATGTTTTCCCCGGGCCAGGAGGAGCCCAGCGCCCCCAATAAGGAGCCGGTGAAATACGGGGAGCTGGTGGTACTGGGGTGAGTCCGGGCAGAGGGCGGGCGGCGAGCGTCCCCGAGTGGGGCCGCGGGGTGGCTCGGGCGCTCTCTGGGGACCGCTGAGGCGGCGGGAGCGGCTCGCCAGAGGCCGGGATGCTCCGGTCCGCGCGCGCGGGACGCTGCGGCGGGCGCCAGGATGTGCGGCGCGCGCGGAAGCGACTCGGGCGACCCCGCGGGGCACTGCGTGGCGCTCCGGGACCCAGTCCTCGGCGGTTCCGCGGGGGCCGGGGCTTGACTTCTCGCGCTGTGGCTGCCCTCTCGGGGGCCGGGGAGGGTGAGCAGGAGCTCGGGCACCTCGTGGAGTCGCTTCCCGAAGCTGGGGAGCCAGCCGCCGCGGCCCCTGGGGGTTCTTAGTCTCCCGAGGACTGTGGGCCCCGAGCACCCGTCTTCGGAACCCCGAGTGCGGGCTGTGGGCTCGCGCCGCAGCGGACAGTGGGGCTACGTTTTGCATATTGTTATGGTGACCGCCGCGGGTGGTGAACTGTCTGTGACCCAGGCTGGCAGGCTAGCCCTGGCTTCTCAGAGCAGGGAGGGGACGAGCAGGGACGCTGCCATGAGGGGCCTGGACACCGGGCGCGGGACCGCACTCCTCCAGCCCTCGGCCCGGGGCCTCGGCCTCGTGGATGCCCTCCTGGCGGCTGGGCAGCGGCAGGGAGCGAGCCAGCCGCCTCTGCTCCCTCTCCACCGGTGAAAACCACATTTTGAAGATAGTAATTATCTACAATCGTTAAACGGCAGCAATTAGAGACTTCATCTACTTCCTGATTTTCCTTGTGACATTTCTATTGTTTACCCTTAATAAACCAAGAGAGAGGCTTCGCGGGATTAAAGCAGGATAAAGTGGGCAGTGAAAGGGGAGTGGAAGGGGGAGGAGAAAAGTGTAGGAAACTCGGGAGAAGGAGCAGCTTGGCTTTAATGTTGGAGGAGAAAGGATTATTTTTCCCTTTGGATGTGCTGCTCCTGGGAACCCGCGCTTTTGTCTTCCTCTGTTGAAAGACTTGTATTCAGTGCACCGTGAGTGCTGATAGGTGGGTTTAGCACACATGTGAGGAGTCCTAGCTATGGAAAGACTTATGGGACTTGGAGAAACGTGACTTGATAACTTGAAGTAAATGCCAACTTAGAGATAATTTTAAAGAGAAGCTCCCAGACACAGCTGCCTACTCTTCCTTACTTTGTTGCTAGAGTAGTAAATGGGATAGTGCTGGAAATCCCATTACTTGTCTTGAAACTGTCTGCAGCTAAGCGTTTTTCACACCTGCATAGTAATTGTACTTAAAAAGACAGATATCAGGGTTCTCTAGACAGAAGGAGGAGTGACAGAGAAAAAGCCACAGTTTGGTCTGTCTTATGTAACTTCAACCCAACCTAATTTTGTGAAGTTTGGATTTGTTTGTGTGGCTGGCTTCAAAGTATGTTTAACACTGTGAACTTGACATGGTAGATTAACTTATGCCAGAACTTTATTTCATTATTTCCTTTTGAGGCAATCATTGTTGAGATGTTTCAGAACAGCAGTGAGTGGGCCTGGAGGAGATTTTGTGTTCATAGTTGGAAGTGAAGGGCATTCCAAAGCCAGCAAAAGGATTTATATTCTGGATTGTCCTGGTGTCATAGGCTTATTCCAAAGTAGGCTATGTAAATCCATTGCAGTTGCATATGAACTGCCTTTTACTAATGCTTTCCAGGAGACATTAAGTCTGACATTGCTGCTGCTTACCTGACAGTTGGGGTCAGACAGGCAGAAGTTATTTGTGCACCTATTTGTGCCAGCTCTGTTTAGGCATTGAGGATCCAGCAGTGAACCAGGAACTTTCAGTTTACTGTGGAGTGACAGGCATAAACAGGAAAAAAAAAAGTGAATAAATTAATAAATGACAACTTCAGGTGTTGCCAAATTCTCAACAGAAAATTGATTAAAGAGTGACTGCTGGGTTTTGCTTTCTTAAGCTAAGTCAGGGAAAGTCTGAGAAAGTAAAGTGTGAGTAAAAGATGCTAGTTGGTTTTTATATAACTTGAATTGACTTTTTTTGAGAGTAGGTTTCTGACTCTAGCAATATTAAACTTTACAGAACAGGTAAAATAGTGAATAAGTGGGTATTTTAAAGAGGCCCTTATTGAATTATATCCTAATCTCAGGACTTGAGACAGTGTCTTCCCTTTTAAAACAACAATAACATTCAAAGAACAATCACTATCACCATTGCATGTCTGATCTTCTAGGATATATATATATATATGTATATATATATATATATATATATATATATATATGGTCTATTAGATTTTCTTACTTGTTATTTTTGAGGTTAAAAAATGCTCGGTGTTTTATATTGATGGAATTCTTTGCTTATACAGTATATTGTTTTTTGTTTGCATTTTCTGAAAGTTGTTGTGACTGTCCCTCTATGCTGTCTTCTGAATTTCATAGTAAAATCTTACCAGGAAATTCTAGAGGTCAGGCTGAAAGGTTGATAGATATCTGTATCTTTATACAATATTCTGCATCTTTTCATGTGTTACAATATTAATCAACCCTATGTAGTTAGGATTTTATTGGGGTTCTAACTTTTTGACAGATTAGTAAAATTTAAATTTTTTCATAATTCCAACCAGTTAATGTATCACAGCCACACTTTTTTTTTTGTTGTGCCCACTAATTAATTGAATGTGCAGGAAAATGTCTACTCATTGGGTCTTTCTTGCTCTTAATTTTAAAATTGACTAACATTTTAAGGTTTGGGAAGTGGCTTAGGATTTGAGAGGCAGTTGAGTTGGGTGGGAACAGCACACATTCACAATTAGGGAACCTGATTCAAGTCCTACATTCTTGTCAAGTGGCTTTGTGATTTTGACTTACTTCCTCTCTGTTTTTTTTAGCAATAACAAAATATGATTGGATTAGGTTTTCATCAAAAACCCTTGGTCTGTACTCTGGAATTTTGTCATTGGCTCAAATGTAGAAAATGTATAGTTAAGTTACATTGTCCAAGTTGCTTGACATTTGTTGATTTTATGTATTAAAGTGATGGTACTAGAATTCGAATAGGCACACATCCTGCATCTGTAGCAGAAAGGCTAATGCTGTGTTTGTTTTTTATGAAGTAGACATATATAAAATAGGCTTAAAAAAGTAATATTACACATATACTTGATTTCTTGGTGGTAGGTTATGCATGAGAACATTCAAATTGGGTAAAACTTGCTGTCTCAAATTTAAGAAAGGCAAAGATGGTTTGAAGTCAAGCTAAATAGATTGAAATTCAAGCATAAGGAGGAGATAATCTAATGGTAGAATTTAGGACTGGAATGGGCCTAAGAGGTGTTGGTATATATTCAGCCCTCTTATTATTCACAAACTGGGGATTTAGAAAGAAGGAGATTTTTTTTGAGTTCCTACTTCTTACTGGCTGAGCTGGGTCACTGTATATACTGTTTCCCAGTGCTGTCAGCCCCTCAAAGTACCCTTTTTGGATTCAATTTGAAGCATGCAGCTCTCTTGCTGACTAATGGCCCATCATGGTTTTTGGAAAAATAATGCTTGGTTCCCCTCACCTCACAGTTGAATGGATAATACATTTTGTAATACATTTTCATTAGATGCTTCACAAAATATATCTCAACCAAGGGTTCCTAACTGAGGGTCCACAGATGGAATTCAGGGAATCTACACATGTGAATAGGAGAAAAACACATCTTTATTTTCACTGTATTCATTAATTCAGACATTGTATTCAGATGTATGTAGCAGTTTGCTTTATTATCAGCATATGAGACAAAAAGGTCTACTGCTAGACTTGTCATTTAATGCCTCAACATAGAAGTACATGTATGATTTTTTACAATTTAAAACTACTTGAATAACTCAGTATAACTGATTTCTTTGGTATTCTATTTTATACATTGAAAAAACCCATTTGTCTGAGCAGAGTTGAATAGGCTTCATCAGACTACCAAAGAGATCCTTGGCACAAAAGAGCTTAAGATCCTTTACAAATGAAGTTTATAAATATTACTGAAAAAATGAAGTTAAGTATCTTAATGGAAATATTAAGCACTACTAAAGAGGGGAACTACCTTCCTTGTTTCCTTTGGATAGTGCAGTTGCCTGTTAAATAAAACAAAAAGGACTATTGCTTGAAGAAGTTATGTGTATTTCTTTTTAAAAGGTGGTCCCCAATTTTTATATTTGTTTCTGTTGTTCCATAGGGACTTCGCCTTGATTCTGCCTCCCTTTGGTCATAATAAGGAACCTTAAAATGTATCCTGACACTTCTTATTTTCTGGTCCTCCACTCTAATTTGGGCACATAGACTTCAAACACGAGTATCTTTTATAGACTTAAAAGCCTTTGAACTGTTTTTTTTTTTTTAATAAAACAGAATCTTTGTGGTCACTTAGCATGTGGGGGTGATCTGAAGAGTTCAGATCTGTTTGTGTGGACATAGTGTCTCATTCTGTAGGCTATTAAGGGTTATGATGTTACTGACTTTAGGTTGCTATATTTTTCTTTACTAACTTTAGCCTTGTTTGGAATATGTTGCTCTCTGTGTGACTTTGTGGCTTCTGGTCTGACTTTCTCAGATTAATTTGTTTCTTTAACACAACAAGGCTGGAATTTTTATTAGGACTTTTCACTTTGGGTCATATTTCATCATGTGATCATTTGGGGATGCTTTTTATAAACAAATAAAAGCAGCTTGATTCAAGTTCTAACAACTTGACCAGACATTTTACCTGAAAGATAAAATGCAGACACAGAAGACCATAACAGAATAAAACATAGTAATTGCTGTATTGGGGGGATACTGATGTTTTGGACCTGGAGCCATGGTTCTGTGACTGCTGTGCAGGGGTGGCAGTGTGGCCTCCCTGAAAAGAGCATGTGAGGCTGTAGTTGGCTTTTGAATGGAGACAACAGCAACTGGTGGACCTCATTGGTATGGGAGAAAAATAACTGTGAGAAGGAATTTCTAACATCT